TATCTTAACAGAAATTTTTCAGTAGGGTTGGCATCTCATCTATAGTAGCAAATGATTTCTCATTTAAAAGTTTTTCTGCTTTGTGCAATCTTTGTGCTAAATTATTTTTTCGCGAATTAAGGCGTAGGACTACTTTTTTTAACGATGTTATTATATTATATATTTTCTTTTCTTGAGAACTAAGATGCTTCTTCTTGCTAACGGCAAATAAGTTTAGGTTAAAAACTGAAAAATGGATGAAAACTAGGTTGAACAAGGATTATGGTTGCATGCATATATACACACACACAGAGTATCCCACAAATTTGTACAATACTTGGGCTGCGTTCACTTTGAGCGTTCATGCACTGTTAACGTCATTCTCTCTTTGTCGCTTATTTCACGCAGAAGAAAAATATAACGACGCTAACAACGCTGACGAAGTTAAGCTGTGCGTAACCACTCAAAACCGCTGCAGTCATTAATAGCGTATCTCTAATTTTATATTTAGTCAAACATTTTTATTATATTACATTCCTACTTGAAATATTCCTACTTTTCCAGTTAAAAGGCATATAAAAGCCAATTTCACAAAGGTAAGTTTGGCTGCGTTCGAGGAAACGCTATTTTGCAATATGCACGTGCTTTATCAGGTAAACTCTACTGGAACAACATTGTAATTTAAATAATATTTATAATAATATATTGCGATATAAACTGAAAAGTTGTCAAACCTGGCCTTTCTGGACATTATATATAAAGACATTAAAATGTTCAATCTAATGGAGCTGCAGAATATGTTAATATTTCTGTAGGATTGATTACATACTATATGTGTGTTTATATATATATACAATGTGTCCCATAAGTTCGGCAACGGCAAGAAAACTCGGCGGGGGAGCATTTTAGAGAAAAATGTTTCGAATAAAAGTTGTAAGGCTTAAAAAGTTGCATTTAATGACAGTAGTTATTTGACCTAAGATGACGTCGCCAAGGTCAGGACAAAGTCAACTTTGCTTTTTTAGATAGAAATACATATTTTTTATTACGGCATTTTATTCTACGTGAAAAAGCAAACAACATTTGTTTGAAAAAATTTTTTACACGACCTCTATTTTCTAAGATATTTACGTAAATATCTACAAAATTATTGGTTTCAATAATTTTTTACTTGAATTCTATTAACTTTACCGAAAAATATTAAGAGATAAAAATTGCTTATTTTGTTTTCAAAGAGCTCGGAGAATTTTTTCAGAATTTTGTGTTAACTTTTTAGTACTTCAAGAAGATGCAAGAAAATGCAGTACTAAAAAATTAATATAAAATTCTGAAAAAATTCTCAGAGCTCTATGAGAACAAAATAAATAATTTTTATCTCTTGATATTTTTCGGTAAAGTTGATAGAATTCAAGTAAAAAATTATTAAAACCAATAATTTTGTATATATTTACCTAAATATCTTAGAAAATAGAGGTCATATAAAAAATTTTTTCAAACAAAAGTTGTTTGCTTTTTCACGTAGAATAAAATGCCGTAATAAAAAATATGTATTTCTATCTAAAAAAGCAAAGTTGACCTTGTCCTGACCTTGGCGACGTCATCTTAGGTCAAATAACTACTGTCATTAAATGCGACTTTTTAAGCATTACAACTTTTATTGGAAACATTTTTCTCTAAAATGCTCCCCCGCCGAGTTTTCTTGCCGTTGCCGAACTTATGGGACACACTGCGTGCGTGCGTGCGTGCGTGCGTGCGTGCGTGCGTGTGTGTGT